TTTTATAATCTGTAGATATACTTAGCTTCTCGTAACTGTAACATCCATAAAGGATCAGCTAAAAATGCAATAAAAGTAGGCAAATAAAATAGTATCGTGAAAAAAAGCCGTTTCCGTTTCGTGGCTGGTTTGCTTGTATTCGAACCGGTCTACTTCATCCTTCCCTAACTTAATGCTGATACCCTTGGAAAGGTCAAATTTCCTTACTGCTTGTTTAAGCAATTTCAGCACGTGTTTGCAAAAATTTGACGCACTGTTGGAATATAAACTTTCCCCTTGGTGCACTGGCTCATCGCAAACATTGCAAAATGCATAACGTTAAAAGCATGCACGAATAAGCTCAAAATTCACGCTCGAAATTCGCAGATATTGATTACAACTGCGAGTTGTCAGTGCTTCTTAATTATTGGTTGCTATTTTGCTTTTACTATTTTGCTTTTTTTGTTCACGTTAATCTAAAACTACATGAAACACTTTAATTTTAGCATGCAGAAAGTCATATCCACAAAATTGAAATCGGTAATGAGTTTAGAGTCGATGCTACTGCTATGGATAATTGTCATTCGATTGTCTGGATGCGGCAATTTCTTCTTCACTGCCAAAAAGTGCAGGATCCAGCAAGTTGGATTTATCGGTCATTATGCACTGCTCGTCTGGAGCATTTGGCTGTTGCTCACTGGGATGGCCATTTCAGGATTTAGCATTACAGATTTTGTCCGTACGTTCTCCACAGGAAAGATCCGCACCACGGACGACATTCTCACCTTTTTAATTGTCTTTCTTAAAGATTCGGTAATATTTATTGGATTAGCCTACGTCATGTGGACATTTAAATCGTGTTACAAAATAATTCTACAGTTCGATCAAGCCTTCGCATCTTATTCGCACAAAAACACCAGAGCACTAATCGTCATTTTAATAACAGTATTGTCGCTGGTGTACGGAGTGAGCAGCTTGTATCGGTGGTATATCGACATTTGTGTGGTTGGATTAGATGGTCCCAGTAGTGCTAAAACGATCGTCTGCTATCTGGTCAACTGCGGAACACGGCCGTTATTGATGCGGATTATGTGGTACATCCTGGCCGGGTGTAATTATTTTAATATCGGTGCGATGGTTTTGTATCGGCTTTTAATGGTCGTGGTTAGCGTCCACATCGGGCGTACCTTTGGTCATATACGGGACCGATTCACGCAGATATCGGACAGCGTTAAAGGCGTTGACCCCGAAGCGATTCTACAAGACCACTCCAAGCTGTGCAAACTGGTACACCGTCTGGATAGCTTATGGTCTCCATTGGTCATGGCGCTGTACTTGTTTGACGCTCTGGTACTGGTGAAAGTCACCGGTAAAGTAGCCAAGGGATTTTTTGATTTATCGGTATTATGGGAATTGATGGTGGATCCGGTACTCTCCAACATTTTACGAACATGGTCATTTACCTATTTGCATGAACAGGTAATTGCAAGATTGGCCCTTCCTCTTGACGATGATGTCAAACTCCTAACTGACAAAAGATAAAATTTGAATTTTATTGCCAGCTCTGTAATACGTTCATCTTACTTAACAGGCAAAATCGATGAAAACAATTTTGCAAGATTACCTGCAGGAAACAAAATATTTGGACCGCGACATAAGGGGGCGAATGAACACTCATTTATTCCGCTTAAACACTGAAACCGTGGGAATTTCGCTGGTTGGCATCATCATTGTGGATCGTACTTTTGTGGCAACGGTACAATAAATAAATTTTAAATGACTTATTTTTTTTTAAAACAAATTAAGATTTTCAACTGGTTTTGCTGGAATTTGCTTAGGCTAGGCGTCGTATGAAGTACGTACGAACATAGTAATTTGTATGATTTTATTTACTGAATCAATTTGGTTTTATAAAATAACTATAATCTAAAAACAAAACGTTCTTTTCAGTTTATCAGCGTACTGGTCACTTACATGATGATAATGTGGCAGCTGGGCGACTCATCGTTGAATGAAGATGCCATTGCAAAGATCAAGGAGATAGTTAACGGTTTTGCTTGTCCACGTAACACCACGAATTTCTAACATCGCAATTCAAACAAGCTACACATGTATTGTTACGCCGTTTAATCCTTTCACATTTTACATAAAGGCGCCAGGTGCAATATCTCGGCAATGCATGGAAACAAAATTGTTTATCAACCTATTTATAATCAGCGCTTCACGAAGTCGCCGATAATGTTTACGAACACATACCATGTTGGAAAAAGTAAAATTGCCTGAGTGGTGTCCAGTTTTGTGTAAATTGTTATTCGCTTGACCGGTGCATACCAAAAAGCCGATCACGGCATTTTCCTTCCAAAATTCTTACAGAGGTATCATAATATTGTTCCAGCAGATAACAGATTTGGTTTTAAAAAGAGGTTAGCATAATTCCAGAGTTGCAGAACCCTTGCATTACGCACGTACCTTGCACATGGTACATAATTACGATAGGGCAGTGCCGCTCTACAGTAGTATAGGCTTCTGGCGAAGCTTCGCCAGAAGCCTATACTACTGTAGAGCGGCACTGGATAGGGTAACCGGCTAATAATGTAACCTGCAACCCGGCCGGCTTATAATGTAGTCTGTAATGATAAAGTATCCTGCTAATAATGTCGTGGAAACACATAAAACGTCTGGTTTTGCCCGGTATTTTTCTAAAAGCTTTCCTGCAGCATGCAACATACGACAGAACCACAGTATTTACTGTACAGATGTATGTATAATAAATTTATAATAATGTTATATTGTGGTTTTGATATTGTGGTTATATTGTGGTCTACTGAGGTTTTGATCGTATTTGACAGTAAACCATTGATGTACTTCTGCAAATAGTATCCAAATACTGTTGTTCTTCTGCAAATATGCTTTTGCGTTGATGGGAAAAATTTGAAATGGTTTTAATTCAATCATTCAAAATGTTTCAGTTTACTTTTTTATTGTTATGTTGGCACAGTGTTTAGTTCACATTGATTCGTAATCTTCTTGTAGATAATGTACTGATGCCATAAGCACTGCGCATTATGGGACACAAAATTTATCATTATGCTATGATAACTGGCAGTAAGCACATGTACCAACTACCAACCGTATGCAGAAATTTAGTGAAATTATAGGAATTCAGGCGATCTGTCTTTCATTTTAACGAAAAAATATATAAACCACATAATGCATATTAAGAAAAACTTATGATAATGAAAAAAGAAAGTATCACTTAAAATTGGTGATATTTTAGGAGGAGGCAAATATATAAGAACATAAGAAATCAGTCACATATAAACGTTTCACTCTGACCTTTTGCTCTGCGTGTAAACACTGACTTGTGAATCACTGCTTCAGCTTTCAAATTTCTGCACTGCGAAAAAAATACGTTTCTATTGGCAATTTCCTCAATCATGAAACGATATTTATATAACGCAGATTACCACGCCGCGGATCGAAACCAATTAACAAAAGTAGAGATCCGTAAAACAAACTACCGGTAATTAATGAGGCAATTACGCTACAACCAAGAGTATAATATCACATCCGCTGAGAAAATACGGCAACAGTCGCCATTCGTTTAATAAACTTCTGACTGATTGACAAGATTACCGGCAACAATAGCTATTAATCAATATACAGTACCGTTGCTCATTGCTCGCTATCTCGTTATTGAATCGTGTTATTATGGTCGATATCGCTCATTAAATCTTGTTATGCACGGCATAACGAACTAGCGTGCAAAACTATCATAATATTCACGTCGTTGCTCATTAGTCTGATGGCAGGACACTGGGTGCCGCATTAACAACGCACACCGAAGGAAAAAATAACATGTCGCTGCATCGTGCACGGCAGCCAGTATCGACATATGCAAAATTAACCTAATTTTGAAATATCGTGCTACTTGGCATTATTACAACAACAAAGACACGTGAAATTGAAAATTTATGCATACGACAGAATGGGCTAGCAAAGAACGTAAAATATTGCCCGGAAGTGGAATTGCTGTGATTTACACGCCGGTTGTGTGTACACTGTATTTGAGAGACAATAGGTGTTTATGACAGGTCTCTTGCACTTGTCGCCGGCTGCCCGAGTAACGGTCGCTCGTTGACATATACAAAGGAGCGGATTACTGCAACGACCGTTGTACATACTCGAGCTTACCTTGAGACGTAAGATTCCTAGATATGTTTTTCCCTTCAATATAAACCTCGTTATTACCAATTTCTATTCCATTAACAACTGTTTAATCAACTGTTTAATCACTTCAGTCAATCTCAGCAAATAAGCAGCGTACATATCCACCGGATATTTCGGCGCAATGAAGGCCGCAGTGATTCTTCTCGCCTGTGTTGCTTCGTGCTTTGCCAGCCCGGTAAGGATCCTCATATCTTCTTCTCACATAAATTATTATAATTATTTAACTTAATAATTTATTCGTCGATTTAAATTTACTGCAAATTACAGTGTTAATTTATTTAATCGGCTTAAATGTTATACTGCTTATTTTATAATGTGTTTTATGTGCATATTGCATATGACCTTCTAATCTAACGTAAGTCTGTGATGATCGCCTTTTATAATTTTAGTGAGTGATCGTTTCTCGTTAAATTTCAGAATCATCGTAATGCTTGACGATCTCGTTGTCAGCTTTTCCTGCGAAAATCTGTGTAAATCTGTGTAACTGCAATTAATAACGTAAAGCGGCATAGCGCGCACTTGTAGTCGATGGGCGTTGCCTGTGGGAAGCATCGGCATTTCTTTTCAGGTTAAGCGGGCCGCCGGCGACCAACAGCCTCAGGTCTGGGATGCCCTAGCCCAAAACTCTGGCAAGGGAAAGCTCTCCATTGACGATGCCCGAGACCTGTACATTAATGCCAAAGCCGGTCAGGATTACCCCATCCTCAGCGAGATCCCTGCTGGAAACTTCGACTGTGGCTCCGTCAAACCTGGTTTCTATGCTGATGTTGATAACAAATGCCAAGGTAGAAAACGGAAGCTTTTAAGCATGTGCGCTCATATGCAACATTTGCGTAACACCCACTGATCGGATTACAGTCATCCGACGATGCGACATCAACGGAAACCAAACCGCTTATCTGTGCCCCAACATGACCGTAAGGCCATCTCGAATACTAAAAAATTCTAATTTTACAGGTATTACTAATTCCTTATTTAGATCTTCAACCAAATCACTCTGGTCTGCGATTGGTTCTACAATGTCGACTGCAGTCAGGCGAAGAAATGGTACGACTACTCCAACAGTCGTCTGTACCAGGGCGCTGATGTGCCTCTGCTGGACAACCAGGACCAGATTGCCGAAGACCTCGGTGCCGTGAAGCCAGCCGCCGCTGCTAAGCCCGCTGCCAAGCCGGCCGCTAAGCCCGCCCCGAAACCAGCCCCCGCTAAGCCTGCGCCCGCTGCCAAAGCAACAACCGCTGCCGCGACCACGGCTGCCCCGGCTGAAGAGACCACTGCTGCTGCCGAAGGTGGAGAGTCGTCGGCTGCTCCCGCTGAAGAAACCACCGCCGCTCCCGCTGAAGCCGGAGAATCCTCGGCCGCCCCTGCTGAAGAAACCACCGCTGCTGCCGCCGAAGGTGGAGAATCCTCTGCTGCTCCCGCCGAAGAAGGCGAGACCACCGCGGCACCGGTTGAGGGTGGAGAGTCCTCGGCTGCGCCGACGGAAGGCGGTGAATCATCGGCCGCTCCGGCTGAAGGTGGAGAAGCCACGACTGCTGCTGCTGAGTAAACCGGGTGTTAAATAGTTTACCTGCATCAGTTGCTAAAGGTCATCGTGTGGTGCTGATGTAATAACCGCCGCCATCTTGATCAACGTAACAGATTGCTGTGTGCTTGTATAACATGACTTTTGTACTTGATTTGGACTGTTGACACTTCTCTAATAAATTATCTCGACATATGTGCGCTGCCTGAATTGGTGGTTTTTTGTATCAATTTCCAAATCTCCAAATCTTGGCTGACAAGAACTGAAATAAAAAATTTTGCTTGATGGTCTTTAAGAAGCGTATAAATATTTGTGGCTTCGGTATCGAGCAAATATCCCCTAAACGTACTGTACATGTAGTACGAGAAGACAGCGGCATATCTTCTAGTACGAGTAATACGCTGTTCAGGCTTCGAGAATACAGCGTAAATTAAATTAGTATGCTTTTTAAAGTGCTGCTGCAAATTCAGTTGCACTCGGAAGCTTGTCAAAATTCATGGGAAAAAAGGCCGTTGAAATGCTGCAGTAACACTGATGCAACAGTTTTTGCAACTTGATTAACTAAGTATATGTATGTGCAATTAGCGGTTAACCATAATGGGTCAATTGCCAATAATTCAGTTCAATGCTCATAATTGGCTAATTTACGAACGTCTAATGCCATGGCCATGTTTGTACGAGAGTCGTCCTTCAGGCCACGTCTGGCATGGATACCGTCAAGTGCATTCTGGTATACAATGAACGAAGCCGATTTAATCCCGTAAATTAGGTTTTCGTTTCGTAAATTTGCTCTATTTGCCCTTCCTTAAAAACGCGAACAAAAATTAACAAACGAAAGTAAACTTTAAGCGCTAAACCAGGCCAAGATCTTGAAGGCAACGGTCAATATGATCGTTTTATGAAAAATACAAGTTGTACTGAACAAACCAGACATTAAAAATTAATATAAAATAAAAAAATACATGCTCTGAAACTTTCGAAAAGGGCAATAAAAATAGTGGTAAAGTTATTATACTCTTTAGGATGCGATTGAATGATTAGCGAAAACCTCTGTAATCGTCTGTGCGCTACCCCGATATACAGATCGAGTTACAAAATATTAATACCAAAACAATTATAAGATAATGATTATTATTATTATTATTATTATCAAAAAATTATTAAAACATCAAAAAATTTTTAAATTATTATTAAACTATAAAGCGATATTAGGGCACTGGACTTTAGCCTTATTGACACGGGCTCAACAACAGATACAAATAACGTATGACTCTCTTACTCGTTAGTGTTATGCAGCGACAATTTGAAAACACTTTAAAAAAACGCACTAGAGGAACAAATGAAAAACAAAAACAATGGGAAATTCTACGACGAAAGCGCAACGTTTCACGTTCGTGTGGAGCCAATACGGCAAAACATAATTAACCTAATTAGTCGAAACACTCTATGTGACTTGCAAATTGCAATTACGTCGTTACAGTAATACTGATATAATTTATAAATCAAACATTGACACGTGTAAATACAAAAGTGATAGATTGTCCCGCTAAACGCGTGAAACGTTGTCCGATCGGCGCACTGCTTTTTCAATGTCCTTCGACAACAGTGTTTCAGACAGGTCTCTTGCCCTTCGTCACCGGCTCACTGTAGCTGTCGCACGTTCAAAACTACTAACCATGTGTTGTCGGCACCATTTTCTGGCGCATATAAACCTACGCCAACGAAGTCAGTTTGTTCATTAACAACTTTTACACCATTTTGTAACGAATCTCAGCTTAAGATTTGTTAAGGGGGAAAATTTGGCTTTGACTTGACCGGATTTACATCGTTAATTCTTACCACCATGAAGACCGCCGTTATCCTTCTTCTATGTGCTGCCACTTCATTTGCTAAACCGGTGAGGATTTTATTGAAGACAATTGTCCACCTGGTATATTCGGCACATTTGGTCATTCAAAAGGAGCTATAAATATCCTTAAGCGGTGCGCACACCCATAAATAAAAGTTCAAATTTTTTTTCAGGTTAAGCGAGCCGCCGGCGACCAGAAGCCTGGCGTCTGGGATGCCCTGGCCCAGAACTCTGGCAAGGGGAAGCTCTCCATTGAAGATGCCCGAGACCTGTACATCAACGCCAAAGCCGGTCAGGATTACCCCAACCTCAGCGAGATCCCTGCTGGAAACTTCGACTGTGGCTCCGTCAAACCTGGTTTCTACGCTGATGTTGATAACAAATGTCAAGGTGAGAGCTACAACGCCACGCTTGAGGTCATACGTAAAGAATGCGCTGTCTTTTGTAGTTATCCGCCGATGTGACATCAACGGCAACCAGACCGCCTATCTGTGTCCCAACATGACGGTATAAATCACATCACATCGCAGACTCGCAATTTACATAATCATATTTAAGACATCTATTTATCTTCGAAAATTCTCGTGTAGATCTTCAACCAAATCACCCTCGTGTGCGACTGGTTCTACAACGTTGACTGCAGCCAAGCGAAGAAATGGTACGACTACTCCAACAGCCGTCTGTACCAGGGCGCTGATGTGCCACTGCTGGACAACCAAGACCAGATTGCCGAAGACCTCGGTGCCGTGAAGCCAATCCAGGCTGGCCGTGTGTTGATCCCCAGCAGCAAGCCATCAAAGCCGGCGCCCGCTAAGCCCGCACCGGCCAAGCCCGCTCCGGCCGCTAAAGCGACCCCTGCCGCCCCGGCTGAGGAGGTTTCTACTGCCGCTCCTGCTAGCGAGGAAACCCCGGCGCCGGCTGGTGGTGAAGACACGACTGCCGCCGCTGCTGACGCATCCCCTGCTGCGGCCGCTACTGCTGAAGAAACAACCGCTGCAGCTGCCGGTGGTGAGGCGTCCGCTGCCCCCGCCGCTGCTGAAGATACAACGGCGGCTGCTGGTGGTGAGGCGTCCGCTGCCCCGGCCGCTGAGGAGACAACAGCTGCCGCTGCTGGTGGTGCTGAGGAAACCACTGCGGCCGCCGGTGAAGCCACCTCCGCTGCCGCTGCAGGTGGCGAAGATACAAGTGCCGCCGCTGCCGGTGGTGAGGAAGCAGCGACCGTTGCTGCTGCTGCGGGAGGAGAAGAAAGCACTGCCGCTGCTGCTGAATAAATTTGTTATAAAGTTCGGTATTGTATGATTATGCAAAGTCATTACTACGGGGTTGAACGGATTGTTATTTCTCCAGAGGCAGGCAGGTGTCGCTGCCGCACCACTGTGTAACTTTTATCTGCGATATAAATATGTGCTCAATAATCCAGCTGCTGGCTCTCGTCTTAGCTTGCTGTAATTTTTAAAGAGACATGAAAGTAAGTATATGAGTTTCTATATTCTTATCTACGGTAATAATAACATAAATTCATAAATAAAGGTCACGCTTCACCTGAAACAATTGTGGCTATAAATACGAGTAAGTAAACAGATTTTCTGAAAATGAGGCTGCATGTTATGCAGCATGTAATGTAATGAAGACTGCCTTTGACCCTCAGCAAGATATTTTTAATAAATTACAATTTAAGTCTGTGCATTTTGATACTTGCTATTGCGTAAACCAAATTACTGAATTTTTTTATACGGAAAAATTCTACTTGTGAATAAGCTTTTAGCGCTCTTGAATACGGATTCTTTGCGTCAACATTTGCACCGTATCCGACAGATTCTTGATTTCTATGTGGAGAATCCGCTGCACTTCCATCTTCTCGGTTTCTCCAAAACCTTTGTCCCGAGCATCCCACATTACAATGACATACGTTAGTATCACACTTATCGTCTGTCAAAAAATAACGAGAGCAAACATTGAAGATACCCGCGCTAACTATGCACAATCTTAAACAACAAGACATGCACAGTTACCGAACACAATTTCTTACTGTTGCAATAAAACTGCGGTTAATATTCGCCAATCCTCCCAAAGAGAATCCTACAAAGTTGTGCGTTAGTCGGTGCAAATGAGCGGCAAAACGTCGGTAACTGGTATCGTTAATCAGTTCATCGGTCTGCAAAAAGTCCTGCAGTGAATTCTGCATCTTTCCAGCCTGAAATAAAACGCCGATCAGCCTTGCAGAAATTTCTTATCAACAGTATAATTCACCTGTTCTGTGACGCAAATCAGCACACAGGTACGATAAGTGACCCAGATTCCGTCGAGGATATTTCCCGCCAAAACAGCAGAACCTTCCATCGAGCCCGGCACACTGACATATCGCATCGCATTCAACAAATTTAGTAGGTAAAGCAATAATAATACCGGTGATATGAGACCACTGAATTCCTCAGTAAGATCGGATAATTTCGAATGTTCCATACATAATAACATCATTCCAGCAGCTGAAGAGCTTCGCCGAAACCTTGCTTCCTTAGTTAAATTGTTGAAGCGGTTAAAATAGTGACCCATACACAGTCCAATTAGATTAGCCGAGAAATACAGCATTTCCCCAGTCACAGTAATGAGAATGCCACTGGCGTTGACCAACACAAGTATCGCCATAGATACGACTTTTAAAGATCTAAGAGATGTTGCATCTAGGAATGCATCAGTAAAGCGTCCGTACGGAAAATGCATCCAACGGTATATATTTATGGCAACAATATACAGACTCTTAGCGGCAACCAGAGAAATTAGCAGTTTCCGAAAGGATTTTGTGGAGTACCGACCAAAATCAGCATCAAGACGCTGCACAATAAATTTCCATTTCCGTGCGGTTATGCGCAGGTAAATACAGCCTACAGTGGCAATAATTATGTTCTGCATATTCGTTGCGACGGTGATCAGACCCTCGGTAGTGGCAACTAAGGAAGATCCACTGGTAATAATCGCGCTCAGACGGCCATCCGTTAAACTGCGCGATATCTGCAAGGTCGTCAACCACAACATCCACACAGTGAACAGTGCTCGCAAAATGTAGTGTACGATTATTGCGCGACGGTATTTTCCGTACGGACTGGGGTGTTCCAGATAATCATAACCGGCCACCGTGAGCGTCCAAAACCAGGGTTTTAAAACGGTTCCCAGTAATGGAAGGCTTTCTTTGTGGGCTAACTTCCCCATTTCATATTATTGATGTACAACTAAACGGCGATCTACTGTAATTCTTCCCTCTATTTAATTTTCTGTACTTATCTCGCCACAATGCTCATGATGCATGGAGCACTGCCAATAACAACCTGGCGCTTCATTTGTGCTTGTAGTCTTTCTTGTTATCGGTGGTAGGTGTACGTACAGCTTAGGACAAAAAAGACGCATAGCCCCATACCCAGATATCCGTACGCATGTGGCAAGTGCACTTGTACGACAACCGGATATTTTAGCTGAGTCGTACAGCGCACTGCGCCGCATTCGTTCGGAATGCTGTGGGTGGGAAATATGCGTCTTTTTTGTCCTAAGCTGTATGTACATGTGCAAGCAGGAATCAGGTATTTTCGATTGTAGACTAAGTTGCCTCATCAAGCGGTCGATCGGGATGTTTGTGTTTTTCCGGTGAAAGCCTCAAGTTCACACATTCGGCGCCTAAGGATCCCAGGATCCCCTGCCAATCATTTCTCAGTGCTTTTGCGATGTTTATAAAATTAAAGAGATGGAGTACACAACACATACATGCACACTGACATCATAGTACTTAACAGTAGTCGGACCAACGGTTCTCCAACGGTACCGCCGTATGATTTTCAAGCAGCAGCGGCATCGCACATTGTTGTTAATGGACGATCTTGACCAAAGTAAATCTGGCAGCATGCCAAAACTTCTGAGTCTGTTACATCCATGGTTTTTATTCCTGAGAATTGCCGGCTATGACTATGCATACTTTGCAAGACGGAAAGGGCGTCGTGTGGCTTTCTACGGTGTGCGTGCGGTGTACATTCTGTGGGTTGCCTGGTTTATTTCTTTGGACATAACTAGCATCATGGAATACGGCCATCTGCGCAAGCTAGTAGCTCCCGCTTCACCGAAAGTCAATGCTCGAAGTCTTCTTAATACCGCAGTGAGTGTACAGGGATGGATCATGGCTGTCATCGGCGTTACTTATCTCCGTTTTACCGTTTCACGATGGCCACACATAATCAATCAACTGGATACCGCGTTCTCCCATCATTGCACGCTTTTATTTCGCAAAGCTTTTATCGCACTGACGGTCGTCAGTAGTGTGTATATTGTCGCTATAGCAGCGCACAGTGCAGTAAAAGATTTCCGCCTGAAAGTACAAGAACATGTGGTCCGCGAATTCCTTCGTTTCTCCATGATAGAGGAACCTAAACAATCAACAATTTCGATTGTTACTGTCATCGTGGCAGTAAGCTATGTCATTAAAGATTTAGCGATCCAGATGGTTCTGCTCTTGTTCCCCTTAATTGCTGTATACATGGGCCAGTGTTTCTATTGGCTGAACAAGGTGGCGAAAGAAGCCGGTAAACCACATATTCCAATCGTGATGGCCGTATGTACGGAACATGCAAAATTATCGGCAATTGTGAAGAATTTCAGCTCCTTGATTTCTCCAGTATTGCTGCTTGCGTATGTTTATGAAATGCTGGTGTTTATGCAAATGATCGATGCTGGGGGCGTTAAAGGCCTGTTCTCCTCCGCATTTCTTATGCAGGAGATGACCGTGGTTGTTTATCGGACTTGGGCTTGCATCCATGTCACGGAACAGGTGCAGTAATTCTGCTACAATATCATTATGGTTGTTATGCACAGGATGTACTTTCATTGTGTGACATTTTAATGCTACCTGTCATGCAAAATAAGCAAGGGGCATTATATTTAACTACTGTTTGGTGACAGGCATCCAAACTGCAGGATATAATTCAGATACACCTTCAGGATAACGATGATATGGACGTCGCATCTTACAGACGCCTAACTGCCCATCTCCATCGCAGTGCAAATAAATTTGTCGGATTTTCTTTAGCGGGAATTGTAAATGTTAACCGCAGCTTTCTCCCTACAGTAAGTTTCTTCGCATTAGTTCCTGTAGGAAACTAGGAATATAAACAACGTAACAACGGACAACGGTCGATTAATTCTAGATGGTCAGTGTCGTGCTGACCTTTGTGCTGTTAATGGCGGACTTTCGCGAAAAAGGATTTGAGGAAAGTGAAAAGCAGGACATCCGAAACATTTTCCGGGAAGAAATACAAAACTTTTCACTGGCACTGGGATGCTAAGCGCCAGGGAAACTGAATCCATCTGAAAGACTGCAAACTGTCTTCGCTGTCGTCATGCTAACAATAAGCAGACTGGATTGAATACCCGCTTATTTAAAGCATTGCATGTTGTGAGCCATCTTTTGAATTAATATTGTGAATATTATACTCTACAGTCTACACTAAAAAGCAGCCTATGTTTTCTGTTTTCAGGCAAGTGTAGGTGGTTGTTATGTAAAGTCCCAATGCCAACGTAATGTGTCTTTGTACTGTATGTAAAACTGTCGCTGCAAGCTGTTCTTTTGAGGCAAATGTGATAGCTGGCCGATCATTTAAATGCATATTTACTATTCCAAAAACTAAAAAGTAAAACTACTGTAATAAAATCTACGAATTTTTTTATTCCACCGTAAACAAATTATACGTTTTATTAGGCCAGAATAAAAGACCCCTATGTGGTTGTCTACTCGTTGCAGTAATAGCACTACTAAAACTCTGTTTACGAGGACTGGCCTGCGTACTACAGTAGCAGAAACGATGAGGTCGCAAAATGTAATTCCCATGAGTCAAAGCGGTCCTCTGGATTAGCTCTCTGGTAAAGCACCAACCTATTGCAAACTATAGGAAGGAACGCACACTTTTGACCTTTACGTAACTTTCTCAAGGTCAGTGGCTACGATCCCCGTGCGCAACAACCTAGAAGGCTTGGACCTCAAAACAAGGAAATTGTACAGACTCTTCTTTCTGATAATCATCTGCATTTGCGTTGTAATGCAGCCGACTTTTCGCCAAGTTATGATCATGAAAATTAAAAATCCACTTTTTCAAATGGAGAACATTCTACAACCGTGGTTTTGGTTCTTCAGACTTGCCGGTTATGAGGTTTTGCATCCACCTCGAAAACATCCGAAACGACGCCGTGGTACCGCCTATATTTTATATGCACTGTACGTATTGTGGACGGTCTGGTTAATATTCTTAGAGCTAGTACCATCTTTCCTTAATTCCGGAATTTTCATGAGAGACCTAATATCTGTCAAGACAACTCAGGACCTTGTGACCGTGGCCGTGCAAATTGAAGATTTTATTATCGCCCATCTGGGTAGTAATTATCTGCGACTGACCGTCACACGCTGGAAACGCGTGGTGCGCCACTTGGATGGGGAGTTCAGTGCCTACGTAACACCGCGTTGTAGGAAGATATTTCTTGTACTTGTGATCATATCCAGCGTTTTTGCAATAGCGATGGTGATATACACCTTGGAGAGAGATGTAATCGTCCAACATACAAACCGGTTGTATCAGGAACTGCTAAGCGTACACGTCAGTTGGCTGCCGAAACCGGTAACCACTGCGCTGGTTGTATTCATCCAGTTCAGTAACACCGTCAATGGCGGAGCGTCACGCTTGGCCATACTGTTGTTTCTGATCATTGGGATTTGCTTGGGACAGTGCTTCAGTCAGCTGAGTACGTCAGCCAAAAAGGTCTTGGGTAAAGACAGTGGCGCATTACTACCATTATGCAATGATCACGCGAACTTGTCGCATGTCGTCGAGAGATTCGACGGCCTGTTTTCTCCAGTGATGCTGCTCCTGTATTTTTGGGAAATGCTCATGTACATGCGGATTTCTAATGAGATCATTGCTGGCGACGAAGCCGAGTGGATCTTCATAATTCAACAAAGTATTGCCGTTGTCTGTCGCACCTGGGTCTGCATTTACGTAACAGAACAGGTTTGTCATTGATTTCGGCATTCGAATATCGGTACCCTGTTGCTGACGATGGCTATTTTCTGTGTATGGCTCAGTTGCTTAAGTTACTCATTTCATTTCAGTATCCTGTAAAGTATGTTAATATATTGCACAAATTGTAAATGAAAGTGATAATTTAAAAAAAAATAAATTGTCGAATTACGGTTTTGTACTTGGCCAGTGCGTTGGAAAGAACATGCATATGCACTGCATGCCAAGAAAATTGTTTCGAAATTTGAACAATGTACCGTAACTGTTGTCAAGTAGCGCGTGTTAGCGAAAAGGGCATTAAATAGACGTCTGTAAATTCAGAATGTTTTCTCGTTTATCTAGGCAGGCAAAATGCAGAAAATTGTGCAAAATGTCCTTCAGCTCGGCAGTAGCGAAAGTGCCATCGATCGCGACAGGCTTAAAGCCCATCTGCACCGACTTTCTACTAAGTTTGTTGGATTTTCGTTAGCCGGCATCATCAACATAAATCGTGGTTTTATCGCGACAGTAAGCTTAGAAATCATTTCAGCTTCATAAAATGTGTACACAAGTACAGAATCTGTATAATCAGTATTGTCGGTTACAGATGGCCAGTGTCCTGTTAACCTACATACTGTTAATGTTTGAGTTTCGCGACAAGGATCTTGGACCCGGAGAAAAACTGCAAATTCAGAACATTGTTCGACAAGAACTAAAAAATCTGTCAGCTTCAATGGATTTTGTCTCACAACAGCTTGTGCAAAAACATCTTCTATGACTAGTAAAAATCACTATCAGCGTTTCTAGTCAAAACTGTAAATATTGTTATACAAATCTAATGTGAGACCTCCTGGATGAGTATACCTACACGTCTTACTGCGCTTCTGAAAACTACTAAATATTCTTATATCTAAAAAGTTTTCATTAATATTAATGTCGCTTTTGTAACAGAATCAACAAGTATTTTGACGATAAATAACGAAGATACATTGGCGATATCAATGACAACCATGCAGTGGTCAGTACCATACAGCATTTATTGTGCTTGTTGGCATTGTGTTGTACAGATAAGCCATTGTACTTTGATCTTTAGTGCAATATCTCTCTACAAGGCTACACTTGCCAGTGATACGATTGAACTGCATCTGATAGAGATAAGAGCAAAAACATTTGTACTGAACCAATATGTTCCAGTAAAATTCCAACAACTGCTACATAGCCCATTAATTTTACGATTGTCCTCCTTGAAATCCTGTCTGTGCGCATTTCTTTCTTAAGTTGCTCCTGACCTTCTAAAATGGTCACGCCTGGGTTCTGGAATGTGTTTATACTGGTAGTTGTTGCTGGTCAACTGAAGAAGGCAGTGGGTGTGCTTCACCATAACAGACACGGACGCGTTTCTTCGGGAAAAGATATTCAACACCTGACGAATGGGTGCACAGTTACTCCCAAAGAGTACAACATTAATCTCGATGACGACCCCCATCATCGATGGGACCAAGTGTTGAATGACTTTCCCATGACACAGGAGGACACCGTGGCGGCGATCACGTAAGCCTGTTTACTCAAATCCAAAAGCAACAAATACGACATACCAAAGTTACCATTAGTATCAATCGGTAACGGGCCACTTTAGCCGAAACATTTCTTTCAATACCTATAGTAAGGCCCTGTTCAGGTAACTAAAATAAGTGAATAGAGAGATGCAGAAGATGAAAAAGCAGATCAATAAAAATATAAACGTTGTTTCAGTTTGCTGCTCCAAGAAATGGGCCTGTCGCCAAAAATGCTGCCATATTTAACAAAAATCGCCAAATTCATCCATAAGGAATTACCGCAGCCATATCGTGACGAAATACAGGGTACAGAGATCTTTTGTTTTACAAAACGAATTCACAAATGCAGTCTAAAAGCCATTACGATAATGATTATTTTATTTAATTTTGTTTGTCAGGAATTGCTGGCAAGACGAACACGGATGTCGGTTTGGTGACAATGCTGAACATTGGATACGATTTATCTGCGTACAGCGCGATAAGCCAAAATGGAAGAAAAACCGTCATCAAAATTTGATATACGATACCAATTGCTTTGTTTCAGTTTTTGCACAAGCATCGTAGCAACGGACGCAAACGGAGACATTTGGCACGCCCGAAACCTGGATTACAATTCAACCTCGCAGCTTCGCAACACGACGATCACCGTCAATTTCCAGCGAAATGGAAAGGTCGGCTTGCTGCTGCAGCTATCTGCTAATATCTTTTGCGCTTTTTGTTACCATCTTACGACTCTTTTGCTAACATGCACAGACCCTATTCTCCGGAGTTACATTTGCCGGTTATATTGGTCTGGTCACCGCCATCAAACCGAATGCTTTCACCATGAGCATCGACGAGCGTGGTAGGTTGAAATTTGAATTACATAAATCGAACAATATTTATCTTAATGATCATATTTTTATCATTTTTGCAGATGTTGGAGCTTTCATAGATAACATCCTTGAACTGCTTGATCCTAAGGTCTCCCTTCTGGGCTTTGATCTACGAGAGGTTAGTGAATCCATCGCCACATAAAAACTTTATACTTTCAACAGCTTTTCTGATTGCACTAATTCGCGATGCGCGATGCACAGTAACATCCATCATATTTTGTAAGTGTTTTACAGCTAATGGACAAAGCCAATTCGTACTCAGAAGCAGTGGCATTCGTCTCCAGCTTGCACATGCCGGCCCCTGTTTACGTTATACTGGGTGGACTGAAGGGAGATGAAGGTACCGTTGTGACACGTAGCCGGAGATCCGCTATTGATATTTGGCCGTTAAGCACGGCTAAGGGCAGGTACGCATTTTGAAAGGTCATCAGCATAGCTCGTGTAAATTAGAAAACGGTACTGTTTGCAGATGGTACCTAGTGGAAACAAATTACGATCATTGGAACAACCCTCCCTGGTGGGATGACCGCAGGTAGTTGTAGGCAAACTTCCGTTTACAATCATGCATCCAATTAATATAACAGAACTTATAGCGCTCTGCTGCTAGGACACCGGCGGAACAATCCATGAACGCAACAGGACAGAATGCTATTGGGAAGATGACAATGTTCAACGTACTCAGTACACCCAAAGTCTTCAACCAGTAAGTACTTCAACCAGCAAGTAAGTTCCTGTTCAACCATTAGCCCGAAGACAGGGATTAGTATCTAAAGTGCTTATAGTTTTTGAAGCGAAATAAATACATAGTAAAATTCTGTTTTTGCACACCTTGATATACTTCCGGGTATTGAGCTGGCAACACCAAATCTGTGTCGATGAATTTCAGTTTTTCCTTTAAATTTTAGTTATACTCTGCGATGTTTAGGTATACAGTATACACCACCGTTATGAGTGCTTCAAGACCCAACGAGACACAGACATGGATAAGGTGCTAAGGAAAAGCAAGACGTCTTCAAAGAAAACACCACATAATTAACTAGAGCGACCCGTTGATTTGCCAACATTACAGCTGAAGATGTACTGAGAGGCAGTATGTTACAAGACAGACAGTATCTGTAAGATAATCGTCAATAGTGTCATTAGAAAGTACAATGAATTCTTCAAATTTTCATTTGATCCTCCATAGAACTGCCAATAAAGTTCCACTGTTCTTATGGGATGATACGGCTGGTGCTGAAGTTTTGTGCACCGCTGGCGAATTCTTGGTTAAATATATTTTTGATTTGCTTTATTTCATCTGGTCCAAAGTTGCTTCCACGCAGTTCCCACATCAGCAAGACGTATGTCACTAAGAAACCCAGCATCTAAAAACGTAAGCAAACCTTTATTTTATCCGAAGTTTATCGACTTTATGCTATGGAAGGAAGCTGCAGCCGCATCTTGCGCAGCATCTCACTACCGAACCTTTGCAATAAAGCCGCGGTCAACGTGCAGGATTCCCAAGAGCGAAAAAGCCGCCGGCTCGTGTCTAAGGCGTTGGAGATGCGAACCAAAGCGTAAACGTTGATTTTGATCGTGCCAATGAACGTCGTTCGATTCCAGCACACGCCGAAGAGGGTTTTTTAACAAAGCAGCCTAATAAATAAGCGAAGCAAAGGTGTACAGTAATCTTCCAAGTGTCATAAAATGTCTTTACTACAAACTTTTAAAAGGCTTTTGCTAGTCGAGTCTTTCTTTACCTGTTCCGCAACGAAAACGAACACGGTTGTCCTCAAGACAAAATTAACGATTTCGTAGATGATGTCATCGACAGGATGTGCATTTAACTCTATGATATCTTTAGCCAGTACATCAGCATTATCATGGAATACGTATACATAATCAGTATCAAGGGAGATACATCAGCATCAAATTTTTCGACCATTTCAGAGAGTTTAGCGTGTTCCTGTAATAGTTGTTCCAGTTTGGCATCGCTTCTCTGTTTTCCGATAGCAAATGCTTTAAAAACTGATCGATAGCAGAAACCAATACATACAACGATAAGCAGAACGACGAATCGAAGGCAGTTTATAGCAATATTATTAAGTACATGACAAGCGGCTGAAAAATAATATGTACCATCTGCCATGACCTTTTGGATGGACGGCTGCGTTGGAATGGTGCAGTTATTACCGATTCCTAACAGATGCTTTTCTAACGGGCGGCAATAGATATCTCTGTTTCTGATGGTGAGCACCTCCCCGAAAATATCATAGCTCGTGCTAATGATACCGACCACCAGCATAATCAGTATAGCGTTCTTCAAAGCCGAATTATCAAAATAATGCTGAAACAGCAAGTCGAGCTGCCGAATGATTTTTTTCCAGCTGTGCATTGTCAGCATTATGTACACCGATCCAACAATTACGACCAGTGATTCGTGAAATTCCACGATTTTCTGAATAAAATTCTCTGCTGCAAGGGGTTCTGTTTTTCCTGCTGTAACCTTATAATAGATTTCGTCAGTTTCGCGTATTATCGTGCCCATTAGCAAGAGTATTCCGACGCAGCGTGGACCAAATTCAGTTAGCTGCTGCCATGCATTCGGTTTCTTGCTGTTGCTCATGCGATGGAAACCACCATAGCCAAACCAACGCAATACAATAAACAAAGGCGCTAGCACCGGCCATAAACTGTTCGGTTGTGGGATTTTCATGGTACAGATACTTATCACTGGTAATAATATGCACAGAAATTATCCTTTGAAAAACGGGAAATTCATCTATTCATCGCTCAAGCGTACTTGCAGATAAAGCCATAAATGGTCTTTGTTTGTTATTCGTACTACGGTCACTCCCAACGTCACAATGAACGAACGACACTTGCAAAGCAAATACATGCAATTTGCAGACATTTGACTTTTATCGTAATATGTACTAAAATAGTGGCAACATTTCTCCCTTGAGGAATATCGCTTAATATCTTATAACAGGCAAGCGCAGGGAGCTCACAGTGATCTTTATTGACAAATAAAGTGGAGCAAAATACCGCGTGATTGCGGGAGAAAGAACAAAGACGCCAATACGAAAAATCAGACATCTTTCTCTGTGGGCTGGTATACGGCCAGTGCAGCGCATTATGGTGCATAAGTTATGATTCATAGAGATAAGAACGGGTATGTTGAAAAACGGAGCTGTGCAGCGCGGTATCTCGAATACGTGCGGTATGGTTGTTTTGACCATTCGGAGCGTAGATAAGCTCCGGATCGTGATGACACACGTTACCAGTCGTATCTACTGCGCATAATGCACAAAAACCTACATAGGCGTTGGAAGATACCCGAATGTCTGAATCTGCGTAATGTCTGGCATGAAAATCAGCAAGTCATGTTGCTGCGAGCGAGTTCTAGCGCGTAATGAGACAGTGTAGAGAAAGAAGCGCTGGCGGCAACGTCGTGCGGTCCAGACATGTGGAATGTGATGCGCAGACTGGGCTCGTATCCAACGCGAGCGTATAGGCGCTGAGTCATACTGCGAGTGAGAGGAACGAGAGAGCAAGTATGCTCAGTGAGTGCGCCTACCGCCTACGGTAGATCCGCTAGGCGGAGAGGCCGAGTGCAGGCCAGGTGCTTATGGCGGGCACCCGCCAAGGCGGGTGCGATAAGGCCACCCGCCAAGGCGGGTGCGATAAGGCGGGTGTAAACCATTAGGCGGGCTTCGGTAGCGGGCAATGCAGAAATGCATTTGCACAATGCACTTTCCCGTTAGCTGCGCATCCAAGCTGCTAGTGCAAGTCATACACTATACTTGCTAACGCTACTCCACGCTTTATGATTATTGATACCTTTAAAACCAACCCTTACAACATTGTTTACAAAAATAACTCAACAAGGTCTTTCTAAATTGATTTGTTAAGCTGTTAGTTATAATTTAAAAAATGCGTAATGCACGATAAACGTCCCAGTGACCCGTTACTTTGAGTGCGGACTTATTCTACTGGCTTCCAGGGCTCACTTAACTTGGCAGGTGTTTCTTAAATCACTAAAAAGAAATGGTTTCTTTTATACAAAAATGCATAGGTAAAAGGCACAGACGCAAAATATTTAAATTTATATTTTGTTAATAAAGGGCTTGCGTGTAGGTGATGACAGTTATACAATTAGGACAAGCAGTTCGATACAAATAAATAAATTAACATTCTGAAATCAAAAAAGAGAAGGAACCTTCACCTGACACGCAACAATATTTACGCCTATGGTTTCCAGCAGCGCCAGGATAATTTTATTTTTAATTGCAACTGCCCACAGTTAACAGCGATGCCATTTTTTGGCATTTATGCAATGAAAAAATTATTAATACTTTACAGCAAACCAAATTATGCATATATATAATCAGTTATGTTTTTTAATTAACTTTCTGTCTAACGTTAGCGCATTACAGAGCCAATTATATGGCTTTCTTCTATAACTTGCTATGAGACGCAAAAGGAAAAAATAATAAATGATATAATTTTTCAAGCACGTGTTTATAAGCTTTCATCGCTTAAGAACAACAAGATGATTTTACTGATATTTAAAAAAACGAAGCGATCAAAGCAGCTGTTTTGTAACAATTTTCGACCGAAGCAAAACCAGAAAAGAGGCACTTTGAAAAGGAAAACAAACCATTTTTGCCTCCGCCCTAGAATGGTCTCACAATTGCAATGTTTACCTGCGGAAGAAAAAAGGTAACAGCATTTTTTGACATCAAGCGGAAAGCCTGTAGTATACTGCAACGAAATAGGCTGCAACCTAAATTCAAAGGATTATTTCGGGAAACGTTTTTGATTCAGGCTACCAACTTAGGCCACAGCCTAAATCTGGTAACCGCAGTTTATTAACAAAGAATGCATAATAAATAGGCCTTTCCAATTTTGCTCGAGCTCGAAGATCGAAACAGGTGAAGAAATGTTCTGTGATAAAATGAATGAAGGGAAAAAACACTTACGCCGAGCCTAAATTGATGAAAAAAATATGGGAAACTGCAGCGGTAAAAATAAAAGAGCTGAGTAAATCCCGTTTTGCTCAACCTTTATTCAAAGAATTGTTTCGGGAAACCATACAGGTTGAAATACAGGTGATGCGATACAGATTGAAACCTTTTTTAATTTGTTTTTGAATCGCATTATGCGTGTCCAACCAGATTGTATGGGACAAAAGCGAAAAAGGTTTACTTATATGTAAGCAGTTAGTAGACCTAAATGCGTTTTCTGTTTGCTGGTCACTGACTGGTAACCTGAATGTCTCGTAAATTGTAACGGTACGGCTGAAAGACTAATCGAATGTTAAATTTTTTCATTAACGATAAAAAATCATAATTATTAGAATGATATTTGCTTAATTTTCCGGATTCAGGGTATGCACGAGGATCTGTGAAAATACGGCGAACGGTTTCTCGAACATTTAAATGCATTATGCTTGCTAAATGGCTAACACTGACAATATCGTTCTGTACGTTTTGCAAACCAAATTTCGAAGGCTACTGTTTTGTTAAAATTGGTACTTTTTCTGATCTACGTAACTTACTATTCTTAATTTTTGCTGTTAATTTTTATATTGAGGTCATTTTAGTTTGTTTGATGCTTTAAAGTAGATAACTATATGTAACGGTGCATGGCAACAATGCCAGCGCCACTTGATTACCTATTTTCATTCTGTTGTTGTCAGTTTAGTTCACGATGAATCAAAAAGAGCGGAGTGCTCGTCACGTCGTGACACCATATATAACGGCTGCTTAAAAAAATATGGAATGGTGTCAGAATACGTTGGTTTTTGTATTCAACTTTACAAAAAAATATTTGAAATTCTGAAGGTGTCAAAGTGATCCACGTCATGTAGCTTTACATCTTTTTCTGTTTGCAGGTGGTCACGTGATTGAACCTGCTGCCTACATGCAGGACAGTTAAAACAAACAAAGAGACTACGAAACGTTCGTTTTTTTGACTTACAGTTTTAAAAGAACGAATTCAGTCACGAAAAACAAAATGGCGAATAAGGCAAAGTAGAAGTGCACTACCGATTAGGCAGGTGCACCGCAATTGATGCCTCAGTGCAATGTGCAATTCGACGGTGCCCGCCACTAATATTGAACCCGCCTTATTGCACCCGCCTTGGCGGGTGCCCGCCATAAGCACCTGGCCAGAGTGCAGTGCAGCCACTCACGTACGTACGAGAGAGGGCGAATCAGCATGTGTGCGTTGGTACGCATACGCCAAGTGGTGTATCTACCACGCAGGCTGTCGTGCCTCTAACAATCTCTCCCAGAAGATT